TCTGCAGGGCATCTTGTAGATGGTACACACTGCTGCGACTGTGCCTGAGCGGTGCTGGGTTGGGAAGGGGGCGGATATTGGTGGATGTGGTGCCCATCGAGCCGGTAGGGGGGAGGGGGGCTGCTTTGTCCCTGGACGGTGCCGAGCTTCTCGAGTGTTGTCGGAGCTGCCCCCACTCCGGGGGTAAGTGGGGGGTATTCCCTCCCCCTCCTGCCTTGTGCCTTGTCGATGGTGGGACAGGGCTTTGGCGGAGGAGGGGGGGGGAGGACATTTTGCATCGATTCCAGCCTCGGGTGGCTCTCTGTGCGGAGTTCTCCCCGTGTCTGGGTGGGTGTGCTCCAGTTTACCCCAATCCCTCACCAACCCCCCACCCCCCCAGCAATCCAAAGATGCACAGCTTATGTTGGATTGGCCGTGCCTAAATTGCCCATGGCGTGCCAGGGGCATGTTGTAGCTCGGACAGGGTTAGCCATGGGGTAGGGTGCTCTTCGGAGGGCCAGTGCAGACTCAATGGGCCGACCGACCTGCTTCCACACCGTCGGGGCGTGGGTTGGGAGTGTGGGGGGGAGGGGCTCAGCACGAGACGGAGCTTTCCCGAAGGGGGAGCGGACCCGTTCCCGGAATCCACCTCACGCTTAGCACCTCTACACGTGACTCCAGGCCCCATCTCGCTGAGTTGTGGGCTTCCCAGTTTTCGAAGGAGGGACCAGGAGGGGGAGGTGAAGGTGGGGTCGGAGGGATATCACCGACACGGACTTTAGAAAGGTCTCAGATAAGGCCCAGGACGGTAGAAAGGCTGGCACCATTCACAGCGTGGGGGAGTGGAGAGAGAGTTGGGGCAAACAGGGTTGGCATAGGCTGACTGCCTGCCCAATTAGGGCAATTAGGGAGGGGAGGGCGACACCACCCAGAGCCACGGTCAGGGGCCCCGTCCGCAGGAGATGGGTGAGATCCTCGAGGAACATTTTGTGGTGAGGAAGCGAGGGAATTCGGGGCGGAAAGGAACAGCGATGTCTCGGAAAAAATCCCCCTGATCAGGGCTACCCTCCAACTCCGCGGGAAGCTGCGGAAGAAATGGCTGGGCCCCTCGCTGAGCTATTGATGCCACCCACAGCCGCAGGGGTTATTGGGGTTGGGGGTGCCAGGAGACTGGAGTTTGGCAAAGGTGATGCCAAAGTCTAAGGGAAGGCAGTGAGGGAACTACAGAACGGTGGGGCAACTATAGGGCAAGACGTTGGAGGGAAAGGATTTATGCGCATTTGGGAAGGCAGGGACTGAAATGGGGACGGGTCGACGTGGCTGGGATTTGAGGGGCCGAGAGGATAGACGAAGGCAGAGAGGGAGACGGTGTCTGCGTGGGCTTCAGAAATGGCTTTGGCATCGCGCACGGCAGCCCGGCTGGCACGGTTAGATGGCATGGGGGAGGGGGGAACGGGACAAACCGGGACAGCGTGGACCAGTTGGGAATTCTGGTGCTGAAACGCTGGACAGAGAGGTGGGGAGTTGGTGGTGGGGGGTGGGGGTCAGTGTTACGGGACGAGAGACACCCCCAACCCCCGGCCCCCAAGTACCCACCACAGCGACTGCGTCGCTAGCCAGGATCTCGTGGAAATCCAGGACTGTGTAATAGGCCACATTGGTCAGGATATAGATAACGGTGACAATCGGCATCGAGACTCCGATCGCCATTGGAAGGTTTCTGAGGGAACAGCGGCGAATCGCAGCACTTAGCCACAGGAGAAAGCTCCCTCTACACTCTCCCCCCCAACCCCCCACCAATCACACACTCCCCAGGGACAGCACGGGGTTAGATACAGCGTAAAGCTTCCTCTACACCGCCCCCCCATCAAACACTCCCAGGGACAGGGACAGCACAGGGTTAGATACAGAGTAAAGCTTCCTCTACA